GAAATCATTAAAATCTTGAGAAAATGTGCATCTTGTTGCCCGTAATTGCTGCTCATAATTGAAGGATGCCATTTATTTGGCATAGTGGTAACATCTGAGGGTGGCAGCCAGCCGCTGCTGCCAGCTCATTGCAAATGCAGAGCAGGAAGAAAGCCAGTGGAATCCGGTGCACCTAACAAGGAGGCCTGCAGGCAGGACAGCGTGTGCTGTGGAGGAGAATCGATTTGTGCACACTTGAGAAACTCGGTGTAGGAAGCACTGGTGTCTGGGATTAGCAGTGGCCAAGTGCGGGGATGTGCGAGCCAGAAAAAGGCATGCAGCTTGAAGCAAAGAATTCTTTCATTAGGAGCCTCCTGGCAACGAGGTGTTCACACTTCAGCTGTTTGATATGGAAAGACATGGATCACAAGTCAAGGAATCATGAATTAGTTTGAGAGCATTGGAGTGTTTCTCCTATTTGGCTTACTGGATTTTTAAAAAAATTTATATAATAAGGTTATCAGTACAGACAGAGGAAAAGAAAAACTTCTTTTTATTCAAGTCCCTCTGCAAATATAAGAAATACCACCCTGCCATTTGAGGAAAACTGTTCCTGTGATAAGGCAATTACATGGCAGCCTTTAGCCCTCAAAATACCCAGCTAATAGCTGACTGTTAGCAGGGCTTCTCCTTTTCTAGATTGAATAATTATTTTTAAACATAGGGCATGTTCTCAGTCTTAGTCTTGAGAGTAAGACTTGCCAGAGCAGGAAAGGACGTGGCTTGAAGATCCCATCTTTCTTTCCCTGGATGGCTCTGGTGGTGATTTTCCAAGATCTTCCAGCAGCAGCGTGGGTAGTGTGGCCAGAGAATAATAAGACCACACACATTTTACATATCAATCCATTTGTAGACATGTGTCCCTTTGTGTTTTCTCAGTTTACCACCCAGGGTTTTTGTGAAGTTGAGGCATTTTATTTAAAATGCTTGGCATGTTCCCGGCATGATAAGTATCAGAGGTATCAGACTAGATGTTGGCTTTCTTTTATAATTTTCAGTAACAGAAGGCATGAGATGTGTGTGTTTCTTGGTGTATTTTTAAGAGCGTACAAGGGATGCAGGAGTTGTCTGAGAAAAACTCTGAAGGTTTAAATTTTAAAATGTATTACAATAAAAGACATTGTCATTAATCCCCTTCAGAATACCCTTCCTCACATCACTCTTATTCTTGCCACTTTCTGAAGCAGTTCTATGTGTTGTCTTTCATGTCTTTACAAGGTATGATTAAAAAAAATTCAGTGAATGCTGCTCCCAGGTGCTACCCAACGGAAAGGCAGGCTCATCAAGTGTATTCTCACACTTTATTCACTGGCTCTGGCACTGTGTGGCTTCTGGCTTTTCCTTAAAGTCAAAATGACCATGAAAGCTACATGTTTTGAATCAATCCAGAATACCAAGGGAGCTACAACAGTGCATCTAAATATGTGAAAAGAGGACTTCCAGAATTGCTTCAGAAGTAGCAAGACTGATGGGATAAGTGTGTTCCAAGTTGGGGGGACTAATGGCAATGTTCTCTATAATAAATTGTTTGCAAACTTTTAAATTACATGTCATACATTTGAACTAGAGTATGACAGGCAGAATCTGGGACAAAGTCCACATGTCACATTTAAGAAAAGATAAAGGCCCAGGATGGATCAGGGAAATATCTAAGGGGCTTGGCGATATGGTCTTAAAATACTCTAAGGGCAGGATGGAAATAGAAAACTGAGGGCTTGCCTCAAGTCATGAAGTGCAGTGGCAAGAAAATCTGTAAGTAGAAGCTGGACCGATGACCTCTAGGATCCTCTCCCCCACCCCATTTCCAAAATTGTAAGTGTAACTCTCCTTAAATCTGTCATACCTCTTGCTCCAAAGAGTACAAAGTCCCAGAATTTTTTGCCCCGCAACGGGTACAATGAAAATACTGCAGAGGGCAATTCTGCTCTCCTCTTTTTGCCTGGAATTTTCATTTAGCTGACAACTGCAGGTCATCTAGATCAGGCACTTGGCAATGGCTTCAAGAGCTGGTTAATGGCAGATAATGATAGAGCTTTCAAATTAGTAATCCTTTAAGACAATAGCTAAACCTGTCTTATCGTTACAAGTTAATATACTTGCAATTTGTTCTCTTATAGGCTATCTTAATGGATCACAACTGTCCCATGAAAACAAAAATGTACACTCAGAATAATACCCAGTCATATCCAATAGGAGATGATGAAGAATCTGAAAGTGACTGAGACCTTCAAACATCATCAAAATGTTTAATTGTATAAAAGTGTTTCCAGTGAAATGACTCATTCGGAGCTGTCTTCGTCATACCATCCATCCCTGGCAAAAGAGTACAACAACCAAAGGTTATTATTTCTTTTCCATGGTTTTGATCGACTGCCAACAGCCTTATAAAGAAAAAGAAGCTTTTCTAGGGGTTTGTATAGTGTTGAAAACTTTATTTTATGAATTTAATTTTATTAAATATCATACAATATATTTTGAATAGGTATATTGTAAATCTATAAATATTTGAATCCAAATCAAATATAATTTTTTAACTTAAATTCAAGAACACTTGGACAAAATATATTTTTTCTGAATATTGGTAATGAGTGATAAAGCACACATTATCTAAGACTCTTCCAACAAGAAACTAGAAAGAAATCTGAAAAACAGAATCACATAAGACGGCACGTTATGTAGTGGCACCAAGTGTCATTTAACTTGTACTTACTATCAATATATTTATGAGTTAAAAGCAAGTTATCTCAAGCGCAGAGGATAAGAATGTGAGTCAGTCATCTTTTGGATATGTCCACAAATACTCACTGGCATCAGTTTTCTATGTAATAACCTACCTGGGAAGGGACAGTGGTAAATTACATTTTTATATGTCATGTTTGGCAGCAACAAGGGGAAAACAGTAAATGTTGCAGAAGCAGAGAAAAGTACCAAATGTATAAGTATGAAAAGCTTTCCCTCTAGGATGCATATCTGATCATCTTGCTGGATAATAATTATATATATATAATTTTACACTGTCACAGTTAAGGGTGGTAACGTTTACCTACACATAGTTCAAGTTTTAGGAAAAAAGTTTGCAAATATAATAGCTACTGTAACTTGAAGAAATCAGAGTATAACCTGACCGGTCTGTAGGTCATCAAAGTGGTTTTTCTAGGGATCTAGAATTTTGGGTTGTCTGAAACAATTATTTTCTTAGCTCCTGAAAGTCTTTCACATAAATGTGAAAACAAATTGTAAAGAAGGATGAAGGAATGAAATAGTCAAATTATATTAGCAAAACAGATAAAAAGTGATCAGGACACATCCCTTTTTCTAGGCAGAAGAGAAAAACCAAACATCTACACGTTATTGTATCATCTTGTGTGTTACTTGAGTAGTGTAGTATTTCCAGGCATGACAGCCTTGGTGTCTTCAGTGTACCAGCAAATGCTGTTAGTGAACATTGTCAGTTTACTTTGTTTCATATGAGATATGATTAGAATGTGAAGGTAGTGTGGAGTATGTCTTAAATAACATTTAATTCTGCAGTTCCATAGTCATAACCAAAAATTACCTGTCAGTTTTGTTAAGCTAAAATTGTGTTTGTATTAACTTGAACACCAAGGAGCAAAGAACTTTAGAATAAAGACTCTTCAATGTTATGGACTATCATGGAAAGTGATTAATTTTGCTTTATGAAGTGACTTCTTTGGATTTATGAAGTTTTTCTGTGGTTTCCAAGTGCAGTGTGTTTGAAGCAAAACAAACTTCCTACTTGCTTAGTAACATGAGAAAATTACAACTACGAAAGATGGCTCTAGAAAAACTCTTACATGGCTAAAATTAAAAAGGCAGGATTTTTACTTCCGTCTACAGGATGGTCTTAAAAAAATGTGCTATAAATTGGAGGTTTGTGGTTCTGCCTGCGCCCAATACTGTACAATTTGTTTCTCTTTTTATTTTTGGCTTTAAGGATTCAGCTTCTGTAAGAATCACTGGCAAAGGCCTGCCTGCTGATTGATCCCTAGGATTACTGATAAATGGATTTTTCAGAACTGTTTGGAGAGCAAAAGTTATGTTGTATGTGAAGGAAAAAATGGTAGTCCTTTATATGCTAACATTCTGCGTTAGCAAGCTGAAAACTTTAAAATTATGTATTGAAACAAAGAACGTAACAGCTCTCTGAAAGAATTATTTTTTGAACAGCAGTGGTTTGTTTTCACCTAGTAATACCAAAAACTTCAATGAGGCAGCAATGAACACCACCTTTCTTTTGAATGCTAAGTGTATTTGTGCTAGTCATGCTTTAGTTTACTTAATAAACCTTCTCAACACTGTACTGTGCCTATTCTTTTATAGACCAACTATTGTTGGAATGAAATGCATGTCATTCTGCCTGGATATTAAAAAAAATCAATAAGTATTCTGTGCTGGCAGGCATTAGGTAGAGGTCACTGTAGGCTAGTGTGAACCATACTTTTTGGGTTTCTACATTTTAATTAAAACTGAAATATGCATGGGATATGACAGATATGCTGTTTAAATAAAAAGTGATTACAGTAAAAGACATATTGCCATTAATCCCCTTCAGAACATCCTCCCTTGCTCTGAATACATCCCATCATTCTTGCCACTTTCTTAAGCTGTTCTGTAAGTCCTTTTCCATGAGTCTATTTAGCTGTGCTGCTGGGGCTGCTGCAGGACATTCACCTGTCAAGGTCATTCTGACTTTGGGGATGAGCCGGAAGTCACACAGTGGACGAGGACGTATCAGAGTGTATCTATGAGCCCTGCCTTTCTTGATGACACTCAGCAGCAACACTCTCTCTCTCT